ACACACACACACACACACACACACACAAACACACACACACACACAAACACACACACGTGCACACATGTGGTGCAGCGGAGACGTCGACGGACACGGTGCCGCTCGGGCGACCTGCTGCTGAGTCGTCAACAGATGGCCCTCCGCCGCCGCGGCCTCCGAAGAAGGCGTCACTGCAGCGTGCAGGCAGTATGCCACCACGCAGGCCAAGCGCAGGCAGCGACGTGCAACAGCAGCAACAACAACAGCCACCACCGCCACTGCCACACCTGCACCCGAAGCCGCCGTCGTTACAGCCGAAACCGCCATCGCTGCAACAGCAGCAGCAGCAGCAGCAGCAACAGACGGGGCAGGACGAGCCACCACCACCGCCTATTCCGTCCAAGCCAAAGCCTGGTCAGTAGTGGTTGGAATCACTGTGATGCTGTGTGTGATGTGATGTGACGCATGCGATTTGGTGTGGTGTAGGTGCTGCGGACTGTGATGTTGGTCACCATCATCGTTGCGAACACCACCACTTGTTGGGTGGCGTTCATGTTGTTACGTTCCTTCTCTTTCGTTTTCTGTTCTTCCTCTGTTCTTCTTGACATTCCCCGACAGTTCAACCATGTCGTTAGCGTTTGCTGCTTTTCCGTCACCTCTGGTAGTGGTCATTCTTTGCCTATCTCCCCCCCCCGTCCTTTTGTCTTTTGACTCAGTGCCATATCATCATCATCATCGTTATCACCACCACAACACTCGCCCCCCCCCACCCCCCGCCCCCGCTTCCTTTATTTCCTTCCTCCGTTCTTTCTCTGCGGTCTTTCATGCCACATTCCCTACCTGGTTTGCATGTCGGCGTGTGTGCATGTGTGCGCGTGTGCGTGTGTAGACGTGCGATGTGTGCTGTTTATGACCTCATAAAAGCACTACACGCGCATCGTCACCAGCAGTTGCACACGCGCACACGTAACGCCCATGCACATGCTCAACAGTGACTGTTCCATGGTCGATGTTGTATCGTCGATTTTACTCACATTCCAACCATGTGTCCATGTTGTTGCCGCGACGTGTGCATGTGTGTGTGTGTGTGTGTGATGTTCATCGTTCGTTGTTACAGGGCACCTCCTGCCACCATCTTCGTCATCACCAACGCCATCATCATCGTCAGCGACAGCCCCTCCGCCCGTACGACCCCCGATCACATCAGCGCCGTCCAGCTCACCTGCCCCTCTCCGGCCCCCAACAATGCCAACTGCATCATCATCATCGTCACTGCCGCCACCAGCAGATGTACCACCACCGCGTCCGTCAAAACCGAAACCAAAGACGTCTCTCGCACACAGACTCCAGTCAGCACAGGTGCGAAGCACGATGGTGCTGCTTGCTGGACCGGGGGGGGGGGTGGCATTTGATTGCACCTTTTCGCTTGTTTCCTTGCTCTTTATTCACTCGTTCAACTTCTCCAGCACCAACCACACACACACACACACACACACACACACACACACACACACACACACACACACACACACACACACACACACACACAAACACACACACACACACATTCGTGCATGCATGTACTCACATGCGTTCAACCCCACAACCTCCTCATCATCGTACCCCCCTCCTCCCCCTTCCCTGTGCTGCTCCGTGCCTGATTCAGGACGGGTCGGCGGAGAATCGGGCTGCTGTTCTCGCCCGTCGCCGTGAGCAGGAGAGGCAGCTGCAGCAGAGGGCTGACAGGCTCCACGTCTCAAAGCAGGCACAATCGAAGCTCGGCGTAAAGCAGGGTGCGTGTTTGTTGTGTTGTGTGTGTTTTTGTGTGTGTGTGTGTGTGTGTGTGTGTCTATGTGTGTGTGTGTGTGCGTTTGTGTGTGTGTGTATGTGTGTGTGTGTGTGTATGTGTGTGTGTATGTGTGTCAATGTGTGTTTGTGTGTGTGTCTGTCTGTGTCTACGTCTGCGTGGCGAACAGTTGATGTACATTCCTTTTTCTCATGCTTCTCTTGCCCTTTGCCGTCACCACTACAACCATTACATTCCTGCAGGCATGGCTGGGATGCTGCAGTCGCAGGAGGAGAAGAGGAGCAAGATCTACCAGGCCCTCAACCCAAAGCCGCTCTGGTTCCAAACCGCAAGGGAGAGGTGCGAACCGCGGCGATGCGTGCTGGGATGGTGGTGGTCGTGGTTGTGGTCGTGGTTGTGGTCGTGGTCGTGTCAGCTTCTGTCGTGTACATGCTGCTTCTCTTGATCGCTAACTCATCGACTCGCAAACACACACAAACACACATGCAGGGAGGAGCTTGAGGAAGAGAAGGTGGATCTTGGGCTGGTTGTGTGCGATGACGATTTGAAACCACAGCGTGGCGGCGGTGTTGGTCCCGGTCTGCAACCGCCACCGGGCGAAGGGTTTGGGTTTGGGGATGAGAACGATGACGATGATGATGATGACGACGAGGACGACGAGGAAGAGGATGACGACTTTGATGAGAGCAACTTGGTGAGTGGATTTGCTTTCTCGTCTTTCCCCTCCGGTTGCCGTCGCTCCTTGCTACTGCTGGTCTCCTGCGTGCGTGCGTGTGTGTTTGTGCCTGTGTCTGTGTATGTGTGTGTCTGTGTCTGTGTCTGTGTGTCTGTGTGCATCTTCTTGTTCAACTTTCATTATAACTAACACTCCATCACCATCACCATCATCACCAACACTCCACCATCAGCCCGGGTTTGATGAGATTGCGGATTTGCTGAAGGAGCGACGGGCTGCGCGCGCGAAAGCGGAGGAGGAGCGACGCAAGCAGCTGCAGCTCATGCATCAGCAGCAGAGGCAGCAGGAGGAACAACGCCTCCAACAAGAGCTCCAGGTGTGTGTGTGTGTGTGTGTGTGTGTGTGTGTGTGTGTGTGTGTGCGTGCGTGCGTGCATGTGTCTGTCTGTCTGTCTGTCTGTCTGTCTGTCTGTGTCTGTCTGTCTGTCTGTCTATCTGCCTGTCTGCCTGTCTGTCTGTCTGTCTGTCTGTCTATCTGCCTGTCTGCCTGTCTGTCTGTCTGTCTGTCTGTCTATCTGCCTGTCTGCCTGTCTGTCTGTCTGTCTGTAAGCTGCTGCTAACGTCACATGCAACGTTGCCGCTGCTGTTGCTGTGTGGTTTCGCCCCATCAGGTTATTCGGGAACGGGAGGCGCGCGAAGAAGCAGCCAGGGTATGGCAATGATGCTCTTATGCTCATGTGAATCGTCCACCTGCTCGCCTGCCCTCACTCACGTCATCGTTTCTGCCCATCCGGCATTGGTGCTCACGCGACCATTTGTGCGCGTCCGTCCTTCCCACAGGTTGCTGCTGAGGAGCGTGAGCTTGTGGAGGCGCGGAAGCGCGCGGAGCAGGAGCTCACCTTCGACTTTACCTTCAACTGACGCCACTTCTTGTGTCATTCGTGTGCCACTTCTTGTGTCATTCGTGTTTGTTGTTTGTGCGTTGAGATTCGTGCTTTGACGAAACTCTGAGGATGATGATGCGCTATTGTTGTGTGATGTTTGCAGTGCACTAAGTGTGCGGTGATCGCTCGCGTGTTTGATCATTACCCCTAGCATGTGCTTCCCTCTTCTTTGTCTTCCTCCTTCCTGTGACGTTGATTCTCGATAACTGTCTCTTCTCTGATGTTGGTTTGAATGTAGGCCTCCCCCCCCCCCAAATAGTCGGCAGGGTTCGTTCGATTGTTCGTTTGATCGTTGTATTGATGAACAGACAACAAACGAGCCTTTCATCAAGAGCAACCAGCTGCGTGAGTCAAATGAAATTGATACAGCAGGGAAGGGAAGGGAAGGGAGGATAGATAGACACAAGGGAAGCCAGATGGCAAGGTTGCATGATCCATGGATGGCCTTGTGCGCCTTGTTCCTTTTCTTGTTGCTTGTCTGCAGCCGAGAGTCAGCCTTCCATGTTCAGAGGCCGTGCATTCTATGGGGCGAGCAAACAACACATGAGAGCGTGTGAGTCTTGAGTCAATCAGAACAGCAGAAAGAACAATCGCATCACCACTAAACAAACACGACACGAGACACAGTAACAATAAGGGGAGGTGCTAAGACTTCCAAGGAAGAATTGACCAACATGTGTAAGCGCTTCGCAAAAAGCTGCTTCCATTATGGTGGAAACTGCGAATGAGGAATCAATATCATCATTGCACCAGACGAAGAGGGGAATCACCAACAACGATAACAACAATAACAACAACGCAACGACTGTACACTGGGTTTGAAACTCACCAGCTTGCGACGACGCACTGTTGAGCAGCACCCAGCTGCATCCAGCTGCTGTTGCTTTTGAGAAGCGAAGCGAGCGCGTCCAGTCAAGTCATTCTCAGTTTAGAGATGAGGAAAGAAGAGACGACGGTGTGGCTGTTGCGACTTCGTGTCAGGTGGCGAGAGCGGCGAGCTTCTTGGCGGTGAGGAAAGGCATCTTCTTGGTCGGTTGGAGAGGGTCGAGTGGAAAATGACCATGTGCACGCAAACATACGTGTGTGTGTGTGTGTGTGTGTGTGTGCGTGTGTGTGGCCACGTGTGCAGGCACCACTGTGAGTGGTCTCAATTCCCGCCTGTGCGGGTAGGTGAAAATTCACCAAAGCTTGTAGGTTTTGCGAATTGCAGACAAGTTGACGTGCAATTGGCCAAGCATCACAACGACTACGCTGACTGTGCTTTTGTTGGTGTCTGTTTCTTGGCTGTTTTGCTTCTTCATCCACCACCTCATCCACCACCTCACACTCCACCACATGCCCGCTCCCTCTCTCTCACTCATGTCACCACATGCTCTACGATCCTCCCCAACAACAACAAAAAAGGTTTAAGGATGCAGTGTAACAACGTAACCACACAGCAAAGCAAGCACGCGCACACACAAACGAAACACCCACGCATGCACAACACACACAGTCAAGGTCCAGCAGTGACAGCAATCACTCGAAGAAGACAATGACCACCATGATGGCCACGCCAAGGGCCATGGCAAGCAGCTCCTTCACAGACTGCCACAGGCGCGTTTCCTGAGAAGCACACACAGGCACATGCACATGTGTGTGTGTGTTGTGGGGTAAGGCGACAATTGCGAAAGAGTGGTGGTCGTAGGGAGGAGGGGAAGCACAATAAAGCGCATGATGGAACAACCACAGTACAACAGTACAACAGCAGCCATACACGTGTACACATGTACTACACACACGCACACACCTCGAGGAGCTCCGGGATGACGGAGACGGTGGCAATGTAGATGAAGCCGCCAGCGGTGAAGAGGAGGATGAAGTTGGTCACGCCCGTCATCTCGCTGCTCATCAGCCCGCACACCGTGCCAAGCATCGCACCAACAGCAGTCACAAGCTGCAGCATAATCGCCTGTGTGTGGTGTATGAGTGTTGTGTGAGTGAATGGGTGAGTGAGTGGGTGTGGGTGTAAGCGTAAGGAGGGGACAAGTTGTGGCACTGAAACGAAGGATACACACACACACAAACAAACACACACACGCAAACACACGCATGCAAAGCAACACACACCTTTGTCTTGCTGTATCCGCTGCGGACGAGGATGGCAAAGTCGCCGACCTCATGCGGCACTTCGTGCAGGAGAATGGTGACGACCGTCGCATAGGCAGAGGCAGGGCTGCTCACAAAGCACGCGCCAATCGCAAGCCCGTCCGTGAAGTTGTGCGCTGCATCAGCGGCAAGGTTCAGGAACCCAGCAACCTATGTGCGCGTGTGTGCGTATGTGCGTGTGTGCGTGTGTGTGGGGTGAGCAAGCGAGGGAGTAAGCGCGGCAGACCGCATACAATTTTTCACTCACACATTCACAGCCACACACCCTCACAGCCATACGCATGCACCCACGCAGCCACCCATACGTTGCCCCCCCCATGACATCCATCACCCACCCAGCCAAGTGAAGCAGTCAATCCATCATCATCGTGGTTGTTTCCAGTGCCGCAGCAGCATCCTCAGCAGCGCAACCGCAGCAGCGAAAATTGGTGGGAAATGTTGGCGAATTGTCGTAATCCAATTGTGTGTCGTTGTTGTTGTTTGTTTGTGTGCATCGACGAACAAGAAGACGAACAGCAGTTCATTGCTTCTCTCTCCAACAACAAACAACGCCCTCACCACTCCTCTGTTGGTGTTTGAACCCGGCAGACAAGCGAGTCAACCCTTCTCTGCTGCATCTCTGCTGCCTAACTCGTGGTTGCGTTCAGCGAGACCACTAGCTGCTACTTGCCAGGGCTCCTTCGGCTCCCCTCCTTTTTTCGTGCGTCTCTCGCTTCGATCAACCAAGCGGCACGACTCGAGAAACCACCCCCTCGTCGCTCTTCGATTCGCGTGCGTGTGTGTGTGTGTGTGTGTGTTTGTGTGCTTGTGTGTACTCGGCTGCTGACAACCGGTCATGGCGCTGCAAGCACACGCTCTGTACGACTTTGAAGCCAACGAAGAGCATGGCGAGCTCTCCCTAAACGCCGGCGACACCGTCACCGTGCACAGACAGGTGCGCGTCGCATCCGCTCAGCACGCCCTGCTGTGCCTTGTCCTCATGCATGCATCGCGTCCCCAACATGTTCCACTTGCACAAGCTCGCCACCGCCATCCACGCTCACGCTCATACCCATACTCATTGCTGTGCACCTGGATGATCGATCGTGTTGTCTCGTTGCCTGGCCCTGGCTCCTTGCAGGACATTGGTGAAGGCTGGTGGGAAGGCGAAGTGAACGGCCGTCGAGGTGAGGAACCAAGAGCAAAACGGTTCATGGAGTGTGGGCCGCGTGTGTTTGGGGTGACTCGTGGTTGGTGGCTGGTGGTTGGTGATTGGTGGCTGGTGGTGGGTGATCGGTGTCGTCAGCATACAGCGTGCGTGCCGCCGGCGTGTCGTTTTGACCGCACAACCCTGCTGTTCTGACCTTCCACAAACGGGCGTGAATATTTGTGCTGTCTCGGTGCTGCATGTTAGGTCTCTTCCCCGCGTCGTATGTGCAGTTGGACGGCGGCGCAGATACACCCGACGACCACTTTGACGATGACGATGGCAGCGACTGGGATGACAGCGGCGATGACGACTGGGACGACGAGCCCACACACCAAGTGCGTCGTTATGTGTTTGGGGGTTATGTTTTGTGCCTGTACGTGCATTGTGTGGTTGTGTGTGTGTGTGTGTGCGGTTGTGCTTTGTACCTGTATACCTGTTTGTGCATTGTGTCTGTTGATACGAGCACATGCACACCCCCAATATGTATGCGAGCATCGGTTTTTACCTTCGGCTCAACCCCGAATTGCACTGCTGCAGGGGCACGGCGCTGGCACGATGGAGATGACGCCGATTGGGCACGGGCACGAGGGCGGCGACCACCAGCCAACGTACGGCGGGCCCGCCTCCTCATATGGCCGCGCAGGCACGCTCAAGAAGAGCGTGTATCGCTTCTCCGTGTTTGTCAAGGCCGGCGCCGAGGCGTTTCTGATTGGCGCCACCAAGGACGTCACCATCGACGCCAACAACATGCTCCACATCCAGGTGCGCAATGGTGGAGATGAGTAGGGAAATGAGCGCGGGTGCGAGGGGAACAGCAACGCGGCAAGGGCAGAAAGGAGGAAGGAGGAAGGAAGGACGGGCGGGCGGACGGTCGGGTCAGGGTGAAGGTGGTAGCTATATTCCAGTGACCAACACATAATACACACACACACACGCAACGCGCACATACACACGAGCCACGACTCACTTCGACGTGATTGCCCCCTCCCCTCCCCCCTCCTGTTTGTCCATCATCGCCGCCACTGCAGCAAACCTCTGACGGCCCATCGTGGATCCCGAATCCGGCGCCGTACCACGAGATTGATGTGCTGCATGACGGCTCCCGCTCAAAGTACAAGGGCATCAAGACATACGAGGCATACAACATCCTCAACGCGGTATGTGTCGGGGTGTGTGTGTGTGGATGGGTGTGGGCGGGTGGGTGTCGGTGTCGGTGTCTGTGCGTGTCCGTGTCTGTCTGTGTGTCTGTGTGTTTGCATTTGTACCTCTGTGCATGTGCATCGTTGTTCATCGTGTACTCACCATCACCACCACCACCACGTATCACCACCATCACCACCACCATCACCATCACTACCATCATCACCACCACCACGATGCCAACAGGCGCCTGGTGTGCAGGTTGAGCGGCGGTTCAAGCACTTTGCGTGGCTGCACGACCGCCTCGTCGAGAAATACTCGTGCATCTGCGTTCCCCCGCTTCCGGGCAAGGAGTACAGCCAGAAGTTTGGTGCGTCCGTTCATGTGTTTGTCGGTCTGCATGTTTCTTCGTGATTTGTTGTCTTCCTGCCTCTCTGTCTCTCCCTCTGAGCCCCTCCAATAATTTCGCTGCACGGCGTGGTGTGCCGTTGACATTGCCTCACACGACAATCCCCTTCCCAACACGACTCGCACACACACACACACACACACACACACACACACACACACACACACACACACACACACACACACACACACACACACACACACACACGTACGTACGTCCACACACGCACACACGCATGCACGCATGCACCCTCGTCGTTCCGTGTATGTTGTTGCCAGGGGAGTCGCTTGTTGACAAGCGGCAGCAGCGGCTGAAGATGTGGCTGAACCGCATCTGCCGCCACCCAGTCCTCTCCCGCGACGACCTCGCCCTCAAGCACTTTCTCACATGCCCAACATCAGACAAGACGGTCAGGCACAGGGTTCCTGTCATGCGCATGTGCTTGTTCGACACTCGCTCGCTTTTTTTTTTGTTGTGTGTGTGTGTGTGTGTGTGTGTGTGTGTGTGTGTGTGTGTGTGTGTGTGTGTGTGTGTGTGTGTGGCTGTCTGTGTGTGTGTGTGTGTGTGAGTGTGTGTGTGCTTGTTTTAAATGCAATTACCCCAATCACTGACGTGATCAATGTTCCTCACCCCACCCGAACTCCACACGATACAACACCTGCCAACAACGCGTCCACAGGCGTGGAAGAACGGAAAGCGCAAGGCAGAGAAGGACCAGTTTGTGAACAGCATGTTTTTCAAGCTCATTTCCCAGGACGTGCCCTGCCCCAACGACTCGTGCGTCCACACCTCCTGCTCTCTGCTGCGGCCAAGCAGCCGTGGTGCTCTCAAGCAAGCAACCGTTCACACACACACACACACACACACACACACACACACACACACACACAC